TTAATTCTCCCTCAAGCTATCCAGACCTTACACTCAATGAGCTGCTTGAGCACTTGGTCGTAAGAGTGTGCATGTGCTTCGTTGTACAAACCATGGAGGTTTTTACAGGACCTTAAGAGTTTTTCAGCTCATGCAATGGGGTTATAGGTCTTTTTCTATTCAGCTATAACTAGAGGTGTTTAGAAAAGAGGGATACCCTGTCCCCCAGCATTACTGATACCCTGGAGCAAGGAAAGCGGGATTCCTGCAGTCGTTTTCTCCAACAGGAGCTCCCATGGGCACCCTCCTCTAATAGCTCCTCCCTCCATCCTGCTGGGGCCTCGTGACACTAACAATTCACAGATATAACGGTTATTTTTATTCCACAAAATAGTACCCCCACTACTTTAAGGAGTGTCAACCTTTAAGTGTGAGATTTTTGTTTAGTGACTGTAACACTGAGCCAATTAATCTAAGCCAAGGCTAAAAGATTGTCAACAGCCTTCAAATGGCGCTACCACCCAGATCCATACAGTGTCACATCATCTCACTTTTAGGTATTTAAGGACCTAGAGCCTATGCTAATGATTTGCACAGCATCACATCATCCAAGACTCAAAAAAGAGAAAATATATCTTTTGTGCAGTTTTTCACAGTCCACGCTATCAAATTTGCAGGACGTTAATATACAATTAATTCCCTGTAATTGTATTAGTTTAAAGCAATTAATTCCCTGTAATTCTATTAGATTAAAGCAATAGGACAGATATTTTCTTCACCTCTCGCAAGACCACCAGCAGTCTTCATAACAGTTCCTCAAAATACAGAACGCGAGAGCTAGGGAGAAAGGAGATGGCTATCATGAGGCTAAAGCTTTAAGAGATAGCACTATGTAAAAGCAGTGACTTTACCCGCCCCTTAAGTCAATGCTGCGTTATAGGAACTACTTTTACTCACATCATTTCCAATCATATTTCAAGAAAATGTAATACTGCCAAACTAAAACTGTAATTTAGTTTTCATTTGTTTGTCCTATAAATATTTACTTACCCAGTAAACCATTTGACAAGTAGCACTCGAAGCACTGAACAATCCTAAACGCTTTGCTTCTTGCTTCTGACACAGTGCGATCCAATAAAAGGATATTTGTTAGAGCTATTCTGTGAAGATGTAGTATGGCAGCACCTCACTCAAAACCACTTATTTCCTTGCCATCTTTCTATGTATCATTTTCCACAAAGATCAGTGACATCCATTAAGAGTGCATGCAACTTCGTATCTAAGCCCCATGCTCCGAAAAGCATTTTTTTGTTAAGCTTTGAAGTCTCTTACGTGAAGAAATGACTCATTTGGCAAGAAATTTATCATCCTTGCTGTCTCCTTTCCCAACAGGAAGGAAGATCTTTGCTTCCTTAGAGATATTTTTTTTCTACTTCCTTTTGAACATATTCACAAAACAAAAAGAATACAAAACCTAATAAGCACAGGAAAACAGCTATATCCTCTTTTCCTGCTGCAAGCTCTAACATCTTTTACGCTCACAGAAGAACTCTTGACTTCAGTGTGCACACCACTACTGTCTATCTCAATATAAAGGATTGGGAAAAGAGTCTACTCATCTGTTTCCAAGGCCTGCCCATTAAAAACTGGGACAAAATTGGCATCCTAGCCCTTCATTAGAGTAATTTGCTACAGTAAGAAATGCACAACAAATGAGAAAGGATTTAGTTGAGAAGCCCTGACATTCTGGAGTCCTACAACTCAAAATTGTTTCTCTAGGCTTCCAACTGACTTCTCTAAAAGTCAATGGCGTCAACAGAAAACTGCACCCCAACCCACTGGGTTGTGGTTCCTGAAAAAATTCTCTATAGTTTCTTAGAGGACTAAACATAAAGGCTAAACCCTTAGATGGATTTTTGAGACTTCTGCAATCCTCACAGCCATGGTGTCCTGACAGAGTGCTTGAAAGAGGTTTTGAGTCATTACAGACAATACCTTCAGTTACTACATTTAAGGTAGATGGATTCACGGTCTCCCGAGAATACCAATCCAAATGGAAACGTCAGCAGTGTGATGTTACCACTGTTGTAAATCCTGAACATAGGTGTTTGTCAGATTCTTTTCCAGAGGCTACTTTGGGGAGAATCTTGAGAAATCTGTCCAATAAGATCACCACGTCTAATTAGCCAGCCACGGCCTTTCTTCAAAATGGATGACACAGACGGAGCGCCTCTGGGTCAGTCAGCTCATACAGACACACAGCTAGAGATAGAAGCTCTTTTTGTTCATATCCACATTAAAGGTCCAGGTCTCATGACTTGGACAAGGAATACAGACCAGAGCAATTAAAATCAAATCTTTCCAATCTACCAACTTCTTGAACGGCAGTCCTACTGTTTCCGTACAGAGACATTTCTGAAGATTGGCATAAGGCCTATAAAAATCTTTTCACGGAAAAGAAACATCAGATCATGACGAAGAAAATCCTAGATCTCCTGAACAGATTGGTTTAAAAAAAAAAAGATACAAAAAAAAATGCTCTAGATTCCCTGCAAGACTCTGCAAAAGATCCATAGATTCAGCTACATATCTGCGGCGGCAAATCTGGAACACAAAGCTGCTGTTGGTACGGGAATAACCACCATTGCTCATCACTGCAGAAATTCCCCGGAGACCTTCTGAGATTGGTGAAGCTAACAGAATATTAACTGCATGCATCATTGATGACCTGCTACCAACAAAAATCATTCCTATCAATACAAAACACTAACCTTCAGCCTGTTTTTCTTTCTGCAGCATCAATCAAGCTAGTAAAAATGATCAGAGCTCAGATGGGGAGAGAGGGACTAGTCTATGTTCATTCCTAAGCAGAGAATTTCTCCCACAGCTTTCCTAGGAAACTGCATTCAGAACTTTCTTTACATAAAATTAACTTTTAAAAAGAGGCTCTGATCCATTTCTAGAGCCAGTCTTCTGGCTCTAGAAATAAACCTGTTCCAACACAAACCGAACTCACAGAGGCACCTCTAGCAGAAAAGAAAAAAAAATCCCATTGCCAAATAACCATTCATTTCCCCTTTCTGAACAACAAAAGGCTTGACGCCCTTGATGGGAAGCTGAGCTGATCAGTTTCCAAAATATAATTTCTAAGAGAATGAAAAACACTTTGATTTCTGCTCTGCTACTTTAACCAAAGTCATCAGTATTGTTTTTCTCCTTGCTATCCCCTGTATGTCTTGGGTCAGGGAGACAGTATTCTCCAACAGGAACTGCTTCTCTGAATCCTAGACGAGGTGATCCTTTGGACTGCTTCTCCTGAGCAAAAAAGCTACAGCAGCCTCTTCAAGGTCATGGAGTAGATTATTGTTTGAGCTGGTTGAAGATGTTTGAACAAAACAAACAGTTGTCATGCGAAACCGACCTTGAAAAAAATGCTGAGGAAACAAAGTAATGAATTAATGAAAAAATGTCACTGGGAGGAGGGAGGAGTGTCAGCGGAATGGATAGTGAAATTTTTATTTGACCAAAATTTAAGTTTTAGTAAACAAAAAGCTTATCATTTCAGTAATATCTTTTGTGGTGGTGGTCGTGGGTTTTTAACACTGAGGGAGAACCATCAGAACAGTTATAATAATAAACAGTTATAATTCACCCTTTCGCAGAAACTGTAGTTAGTTATGGTGTTAAAAATTAAGATGTGTGTATGTGTGTGTGCACATTTCTGTGTATGTATGTACTTTTTCAAGGGTTGTTTGTGTATTGGGCCTGAATATTCGTCAGTTTATTTCACCGATCTCTAAAAGACCAGGACATGAAGCAAGTCCCACCATTTTCTAGCCTTAACAAGGGTCTCACCTGGCATAAGATTAATCCATTTACTAAATCTAATAGAAATCTAAACAGAAATATCTTGACAGAATAATTTAAAACAATACACGACATTTTCTTCCTCCCAGTAATGTAAGAAAGATATACAAAATCAAAAATAGTTAGATTTCTTTAGCTAAAAGTACCAGAACAACAAGTACAAACAATTACAGTCAATATGCTGAACTGTAACTAGTGTCCCCAGGGACACTACTGTACAAGTTATACTGTATACACTAAAGCAGAACTTTGAATTAATTCCCTTTTTTCCACCACGAAAAGACATATTTTTACCCATCAGTATTAACAAAATGGCCCTGTCTTATCTCATTTACCTTGTTTGTATGTGAAGTATCCACATGCTTAAGCTCAATTCAGTTCCCATCATCAGAATATGAGTGTTACACCTACGCCGAACCATGTAATTCTTATCTCTGTATAATGTGAGGGTTACCCATTTGCTTATTACCTGAAGACTGAAGTTTATAGTGGGTATAATTGATACTGAAAAAAGAAGTTACACACCAGTCTTATCTAACAAGGAAGTCTAAGGGTGTGTAACATGGAGAGCATGTAGAAGAGGAAGAAAAATGAAACGTTTTTGCAACTTCAACATTTTTTTCCATTCTGTGCCAATAAAATTAATGCCTGTCACAGGTACCCTGGGGAAAAAAAAAAAAACATTTAAAAGTTTTACAGCCCCATAGCTACCAGCCTAGCGATTAGACAGTTCTGCTGATAGGTGCAATTGCCGGGCACCTGGATGGGTCTTGGCATCCTAGGTGGGAGACCTGAGCCCGGGGCCACGGCTGTGTGGGCAGCCAGCTGAGCACCTCATGGGAACCATCACACTGTGCTGTAAAAACATGCAGAGCATGGAGTTGACTGCGAATCTCCTGCCGCTGGGCTATAAGATCAGCACCTCTTGCTTTTTCTCCCCTCCCCCACTTTTGGCCCACTGAAGATTTAATTTTATAAGCACAGTAGAAGCACTTGGATGGGAGGGAGTGGGACTGGCTTTGTGGCAGCAGCAGCAGCAGCAGGTATAGGAATTCAAGTCTCCCACCTCCCCAGTCCCTGCGGGAAGATAAATGCATCTGAAATAAAGAAACAATTCTCAGATCCTTGAGACTGTCTTTGTGTCTTCAGCTCACCCGCTCATGCCTTTCACAGCTTTCCAGTTATTCAACATCAGCCTCATTACCATTTAAGTCATATATCTCACTTGAGAGGTAGATTTCAATTGTACTAGCATCAGAACCTAGCAAACAAAAGAGAAAGGACTCTATTACTTTTAAAGATATTTATTTAAAAAACTTTTGTCTTTATCAAAAAGCATTTTGTCAATGTAGACATGATTTTTTTTTTTTT